CTTTCCTAACTTTAGGTTGTATTAAAAAATAGTGCCTACCCTTAATTTCCTTTTCCCACCCTCTCTTAAATCTTTTTCTCATTTACACTCTCCCCAATGATACATGGATATCTACTTCTTTTCCTAAGCTCTCCTTTGCAATATGATCTGCCTGTTCATTCCTTTTCACCCCAGAATGCCCAGAAACCCAACAAAAAGTGATATTGATGTTTTTTACAACATCAGGACGAACTTTAGATTTCCCTACTCTTAAAGTTTCCAAAGCAGCTGTAGAGTCAGATAAAGAAACAGATAAAGACTTCTCTAGGTCTGGCTTCCTCAATCCACCATAAAGCTCAAAAAATTGCCATTAACAGAGCTTCAAATTGAAATGCCTCGGCCAATCTTCAACCCCAATTTTTCCACATACATCACAAACCCAGCTCTGGATCTCTAGACCCATCTGTGAAAACAATCACATTACTCTGATTAATTAAATTAAGACATTCCACTATTCTTGCACCTCCACCTCTGAAGGCCACACAACAGAGCCTCAAAGCCCTTGTCTGCACCACATCTAACCTATCCAGAACAGTTTTAGAAGCAGACCCATTATAGAGCACCCATAATCAATAATGGGTCTGATCGTGGCCTGTAAAATTAGTAATAACGTCTCCCTATTGTCCCCCACTCACATCCAGCCAGACTTCTCATAACATTCAGAACTTTTCACACTTCTCTACAGTTTTACCTACATGCACAGCCCAAGTTAAACGTTCTTCCAAACAAACACCCCAAAATTTAAAAACCTTTACCTCTCCAATAGAGACCCATACCCCTCATGTGCTGGCAAAGGACCAGCATAAACCAGCAAAAGGACCAGCATAAACCAGCAAAGGACCAGCTTAAACCAGCAAAGGACCAATTTAAACCAGCAAAGGACCAGCATCCCAGCGTCAAAACATACCTAACCAGCATGTGCTGGTTTTTTCAACAGGGACATATACAGCCCTATCTTAGGTAACCTTTGTTTAAAACAAAATATCATATTTTTAGTCTTAGATGCTGATATTTTAAATCCCTATGTATTCCCCCATTCCTCTACCAACACTAACACTCTTCGAATCTGTTTTAAAACAATCTCTACATTACGCCCTCTTTTCCAAATGGTCCCATCATCTGCAAATAAATCCTCTCTCTATTTTACCAAAGATATCATTAATCATTATATTAAATAAAACCAGGCTGATAACACTTCACTGTGGGGTTCCATTCACAATTTCCACAGTCTTTGAATTGACTCTACCAACCTTTACTTGAATTGTCCTTTTCATTAAAAAACCTTAATCCAATTAAACATTCTTCTAAATCCAAAATTTGAATCATTAATCCCTTCTTCCACAATGAATCATATGATTTCTCAATATCCAGAAAAACACTCACTACTACTTAATATCCTGATCCAAAACTGCATCTGATTCCATTGTAGACCTTCCATTCCTAAAACCATTCTCCACATCAACAAAAAGCCCGTTTCCACAGCATCTTATCTTGACAATCTGGGAGTTTCTTTTGTCTTGCCCTTTGTTTCCATCCCAGTCCCACCTTCCATTGCAATGTTCCGTGTCAAAATTGGTTCAATATACAAATATTTAGGGGCTTTTAGGAGTATTTGTGAGGTGAGCAGTTCTCTCATGCAGACATCAGTGTTTATGCGTTACTAGAAGTCATGTACCAGTATTTTCATTAAAATCCTTGTGTTCTACAGCATGACATGAGGGTGAGTGAATTGACAAAATTCGTTTTTGGGTGAACAAATCCTGTAATCGCATAAGATTGTTTAAAAAGTTTCTTAATGGACACCGTTAAGAAACACATTTAGTGACTTTGAACCTAATTATGTATTTCTATGCAGACTGTAACACCCTACACATCCTCATCAGCTGCAGAGAAGGACTGCCACTCAATCACAAGGGAGTCAAAATAGTGATGTACAACGAAGACATAATTGATAATTGTGCTGATATTTCATTGGCACGCAGCATACTGTTTTTCATATATTTTGTGTTTTGGGGTAGAATACCTTAAAAACTTTTTTTTTTAAACAAAAAACAAACACATTGCTCTTCCTTGAAAGATTCATCTTCAAGATGGAGGAAGAAAAAGCTATCCCCATAACAGTAAAGAGAGTACAACTTTCTCTGCCAGATTTAATGAGAAATCTCAATGAATTTGCATGTGCAGTGTGAGATTGTCTACAGTACATTTAGGTCACTGCTATATTTTTATTGACCACCAGTCAACTCATTAGGGACATAAGAAATTGGTTAACGAAATCCCAAACCTTTACAGCCCAAGACGATCAACAATTAATCTGTCAAATAACACCGCCTGCCGATGACAGCGTACCCCGCCCTACAAACTCACTTACACCATATGACACCCCTGCACACCCGGGCGACAAACCCCTGCAAGTGCCGCGGCCAATGGCGCCAAGTGACTTAGGTGACGAAGAGCCCTTACAGGTGATGTGCCAAGAAAAATACCCAAGTCGATCGTTTAGTGGCAGTGGAAATAACCGTTCATTTAGTAGCTCTTGATTCAAACATAGAGAGAGGCTGGAATATTTTGTAGAAAGGGATGCAGCATTTTGTTATGGCTCAGCTGGGACAGATGCGTTTACAACCACTGGCTACAACAATTGGTGCCATGCCCTTGTTCAAAATAAGGGACTAAAAGAACATATGTCAGCAATAGTACTGTCGAAGGAAAGGCTTGCTAGAGTCAAGAAAGGCACTGAGATTTCATCTCTTGTTAATTCAGCACAGCTTGAAAGGAACCGTGCCTACCTGTGAACCAGTTTCCTTTTCGTGGATCTGTAGATGCAAGGGGTGAGGAAGGCTGTGGATTGTTTTTAGCTATGATGGACTACCCTCTTTAAAAAGATAAGGAGCTTGCAAAGATTTTCACAACAACCCCTTCCAATGCCACATACACCTCAAATAATATACAGAACGAAATTATTGAAAACATGAGGCAAATAGTTACAGAAGAGATATTCCAGATGAGTGGTACACATTAAAAGAGGATGGCGTCAAAGACCCCACTGGGTGTGAGAACATTTCAATTGTGCTGCGTTATGTGGACAAAACTAACTGTGTGAAAGAGAGACTTATTCCAGTGGCTATGACTCAACACTTTGATGCGGTGTCTCTGACCAAGTTGATCTTATCTCAACTTAAAGATAATGGATTGAGCACTGACAAAATTCTAAGCCAGTGTTATGATGGCGCAAGTGTCATGTCAGGAACACAAGGCATGGTACAGAAAGTCTTGCAAGAGGAATTACAGCGAGAAGTGCCATATGTGCACTGTTTCAACCATCAGCTCCGCCTGGTTATAGCGCATGCCATGTCTTCTAAAAAAATGCACTGGCAAACTTTTTCGATGTATGCAGCTCTCTTTACAAGTACTTCAGAAAACCTACAGTGGCTGCAGTATACACTGGACAGAAGTTGAAGCGGTTGCTAGAACAGTGTTGGACTGAACACCTGGCGACAGTCACTGTTATCATGAAGTCTTTTAACAGCATTCTCTCCCTCCTCCAGCAGATGGACGGCAACCAATCCAGCAGCACAGAAGTGAGGCTTGAAGCCAGTTGAGTTTGCTGGATACCCCCAACACTCTTCTCCAAGTACACACCACCAGCCTATAAACTGGTGTCAGTGTGGTCCACAGTGCACTCAAGTGTGTGGAGGAACTGAGATGTAAGAGTTTGACATACTTTGGGAGGAATTTACCAAAACAGAGAGAGAATGCTGAACCCTCCCCAGTCCCTGCACAGAAACGACGAAGAGAAGTGAGTGCACAATGGAAGGACTATGTGGTGGATACAATATTTGGTCAAAACAGAATGGAAGGAGAAAAGACAGAATGTAAAAGACTATATTTTAGTATCCTGGATGCAGTAGTCGGAGAAATGGCCACCAGATTTAGTGAGAGAAATGGCAAGTTCATACAGGCCCTGAGTGCTTTACATCCAAGGAGTGAACGTTTTCTGGATGGAGAAAGTGAAACCACTGTTGGACTTAACCGGGATGGTAGTAAGTAACATGTTGTACTGTTTCTTGGAGAATGACTAGTTTATTTAATATCATACCTGATTCTCCAACGCGCCGCTATAAATTAGGTACTTTGACTAACCTTTATTTTTCTCCAGTTTAGGTGCTGTGTCCCCTAGTCCATGGTCAGCCATACTTTACATCCTTTCTACATTACTCATTCTTCTCAACTTCTCCATAAACTGTACACATTTTAATGTCTCCTCCATTGAAGTTTCCTGCTATAAAAAAACAAGCAAGCTTTTGACACTCCTTCATATTTTAGCATGGTAATTATAACAACTATTAGTTATAAAAGATATAACACCAAAATAACTTAAATGGATAAACCTGTCTTTGATCTCTAATACTATTGTTCTATGCGCAATCCCACACCGAAATTCAAGACCTGACCAAAACATTGGATTATACATTTTTAAGTAATAAAGTCAAACAATTATCATGTTCATTTTGCAATCTCGCTAGTTTCCTGACTGATAAAACTTCCCTTTGTTGGTGAAATGGAGTTGTGTGCTATTCTAGAGAGGTGTGTTAAGAGCAGGTTTTAGTGAAGTGCCGTGGAGCTTCTGGCACCACGGTGGAAACACAGCATGATTTTGGGCTTGGTGCTACAGCTCCTAGGCTTTTAGCCCAAAAAGCCCTGTTGAAAGCCCTGGCCTTGCACTGTATGTTTTGAATCATAAGCCTTTTTCTGTTATCGTTTATTATTTTGTGCACGCATACACTGTTATATGCATTTTATTAGATACAATTTTACATGTCAACTGAAGTATAAATCTGTAACTAGTTCATTCTTCATTAGACTAATCAATACAATGAATCTACAAACCCGATTCCAAAAAAGTTGGGACACTGTACAAATTGTGAATAAAACAGAATGCAATGATGTGGAAGTTCATGACTGGCTTCTTTACTCCTCTCATAGTCACTGGAAATTAATAGGGAATTTAGCACTCTAAGGTGATTTAGTACTGTAACAAATAATCAGCGCATTATACAGTCTCCAAACATGAAGTGTTTCCTGTCTGTGAAATGAATTCCACACAACATACAAAAACAGTTCTCTCATACATGAATTCTCATGTGGCACTTAAGGGCTCTTTTATATCTATAACTTTTTCCACAGTGACCACATGTAAATGGCTTCTCTCCAGTGTGAGTTCTCATGTGCCTGTTAAGAGTTCCTTTTCGGTTGAAACTTTTTCCACATTGTTGGCATGTGAAAGGTTTCTCTCCTGTGTGAATTCTTATGTGGTCTTTAAAGTGTCGTTTTTGACTGAAACTCTTTCCACACTGAGGGCATGTGTAGGACGTCTCTACAGAGTGAATTCTCATGTGATATTTAAAGGGTCCTTTTTGCTTGAAACTCTTTCCACATTGAGTGCACATGTAGGATTTCTCTCCAGAGTGAAGTCTCATGTGGGCTTTAAAGTTTTCATGTCGATCAAAACTCCTTCCACACTGTAGGCAGGTAAAATGCTTCTCTGTAGTGTGAATTACAATGTGTCTGTTAAAGCTTCCTTTTTGAGTGAAACTTGTTCCACATTGTTGGCAGGTGAAAAGGCTCTCTCCAGAGTGAACTGTCATGTGGGAATTAAGGTTTCCTTTATGGCAGAAACTTCTTCCACACTGTTGGCAGGTGAAAGGCTTATCTCCAGTGTGAACGTTCATGTGGACTTTGAGATTTCCAATTTGAGTGAAACTCCTTCCACACTGAAGGCATGTGTAAGGCTTCTCTCCATTGTGTATTCTCATGTGTCTGCTAAGAGTTACGTTTTGAGCAAACGTCTTTCCGCATTGAGAGCACGTGTAAGGTTTCTCCCCAGTGTGAATTCTAATATGTCTGTTCAGGCTTTCATTCTGAGCAAAAGACTTTCCACATTGAGAGCATGTGTAAGGTTTCTCTCCAGTGTGAACTCTCATGTGCTTTTTAAGGCTCCCCTTAAGACCGAATCGGTTTCCACACTTTTGGCAGATGAAAGGGCACTCTCCAGTGTGAATTCTCATGTGAACTTTAAGGTTTCCTTTAAAACTGAAACACCTTCCACACTGAAGGCACGTGTAAGGCTTCTCTCCAGTGTGAACTCTCATGTGTCTTTTAAGGCTTTCTTTTTTAGATAAATGCTTTCCACAGTGTTGGCAGGTACGAGGCTTCTCTCCAGAGTGAACTCTCGTGTGGACCTTAAGCTTTTCATTTTGGTTGAAACGCGTTTCAAATTGTTGGCAGGTGAAATTACTTTTAATTCCTGACTTTTTAGCCCTTTTCCGTGAGGAAGTCTTTTCACTCTGGGAGCAACTAAAAGTTTTTTCTTCTGTTATGAAATCATGATTCTTATATTGATCTTCTTCTTCCATTTCCATCTGCACTTCACTCTCCTTTTTCAGCACTATCAGGTCTAAGGCAAAAAGAGACAAATGCAAATTAACACCAGTTTAATGGCACAAAACTACAAACAACAAAACATTAAGACATGTAAAGCTTCTAGATCCTATACCCAGGGGCATCAAACGGGATTTATACTTTCGCCCTGCTCCAGACGAAGCTTTTATACTTGTCGCATTCGCCGTTGTACTGTTCTTTGAAACTACAGGGGGTGACGAGGAGTAATTGTCCTCTGATTCACCGGTGAGAAGAAGTAATTTGCCGGTACAAGACTTCTCGCGTGATTAATGAGTTGATGAATTGATTAAAATAATCTTAAGCTTTTGGGTTTATTTCGCATTAAACAAAAAACAACTTTAAGCAAATTAGGGCTGCATGCTTGATCTAAATTAAATCGCAAAGGCGATAAATCGTGATTAGGCAGAAGCTGTGATTGTCATGCGTATCTTTCAGTGAAGCACGGTTCTGTGATAAGTAGTAAATCTCCATCCGAAGGCCAGAGGGCACTCTCGCGCAGAAACTCCAAATACGCCTCGCAGAAAAACGTGACTAATAAACACACGACTACGACAATATATGGTTTATCGGATTTCGTCTTATTATAACTTTTATTATAATAAAGTATATAATAATGCAATGCTAATCGACACAGCCTTTATCACTGCTTAGAATACTATGAAATATGTTGTGTGACTCTCGCGCAGAAACTCCAAATACGCCTCGCAGAAAAACGTGACTAATAAACACACGACTACGACAATATATGGTTTATCGGATTTCGTCTTATTATAACTTTTATTATAATAAAGTATATAATAATGCAATGCTAATTGTCATAGTATTCTAAGCAGTGATAAAGGCTATGAAATATGTTGTGTGTCTTATTCTGTGTAAGAAGCCACATCTCACAGAAGGATTTATTTCAAACACTCGACTGACGTTATGAAGTGAGTCTGGAGTAAAAATGTATTAAATGTGGTATTTTCACGTGCTTTCAGAAGGAGCAGCATTTACTACACGGAGTCGTAGTTCATGGACAAGCTATGCAAACAGCTTTCATAATCGCAGAATGATTTCTTCGATTTCATAATCGCGCGATTAAATCGTCTGCAATTATGTACGCGATTTTGCGTAGCTTGTCAGTGAACTACGGCTTTGTGTAGTAAATGCTGCTCCATCTGAAAGCACGTGCTGGAGATTTACTACTAATCACAGAACCGGCTTTACTGACAAGATGCGCATGACAATAGCATTCGATTAATCATGCAGCCCTAAAGCAAATAGTGTATAAATAGTGTCTACATTAATTCGAATTCTATTTTTATACAATAAAAATAAAACGCACTTCAATTAAAATTCCTTGGACAAACTATGCAAAAAAAAAAAACTAAGCATTGTTTTCCGTCAAAGTGTCAAGAAGCACCAGATGGCGTTTGAACTTTACATTAAACTGCTTCTGTTTCACACAAATGCCTGCATAGATGTGCACGTTTGGCTAGAATCGCCCAGAACTCATGCATCTTCGGAAGCTGAGCTGCACGGAAATTTACAAAAAATGTAAACGGGTATGCTTCGGGTTAGGAGTTGGCTAGGACAATAATTAAGTGTATACAATTAAACAACTACATAATTCCTTAAGAATAATAATATACAGAGTTGAATAGCAAGTCCTATAAAATAGTATGAGCCGCTAATACACACATACAACAGCCTTATTGAAAACTACATTCATTCTCTGCCAGCAGGTGGCACTTTCAGAACTGCAGACCTATAACTGTTTCCCTGGTAATTGCAGTAAACAAAGCAACGCAGCACCGAACTTTGAAGCTGGTCGCATAACGGACGAGAAGCACAGCGCTGCGTCGCGCCACGTGTTTACATTAGGTGCGTCCCAAATCGCGTACTTATGCACTATTCTATGACATTTTGTAGTATAAATAGTGCGAGTAGTGCAATCACACTGAAAATTCCAAAAAGAAAAAGTGCACTTTAAATAACCGGATGATGCACTTAAATAACCAAAAAAACAAAGTGTGGAATGTTGGACACTTCATGCACTCAACTGTCGCACTTACTTTACGTAGCAAAGGAGAGGGGCTATCAGACTCTGATTATGAATGACAGAATAACTTTATAATGCATACTCTGCATGGTTGAGTACATAGTGTATAAGTGCATAGTGTATAGTGCATCATTTGGGATGCAGCTATTGTTTTGAGTCGTTGATAGGCACCGCCGACAGATGCCGAATGGCACCACCGGTGTGTGTACGCTCATAGAAAACAATGGGTGCGTCTCAATCAGCTCCCGAGCTCGTGAATCAGTAGATCGTGTACACGAATTCGATCACTGGTAAGTTCCCTGACTCACTGCACGTTGGGACAGTGATCACTCGAGTTCCAGTGACATGATTATGTACAACGTCAACGGACAACATAGTAGAACGTTATCACTGGAATTAATAAACAACAGACAGGACCGATCTCTTTTTGATATTATTTTTTATTCTCTTTAAACACATCGTTCTGTTATACACTGAACAAAATTATAAACGCAACACTTTTGTTTTTGCCCCATTTTTCATGAGCTGAACTCAAAGATCGAAGACTTTTTCTATGTACACAAAAGGCCTATTTCTCTCAAATATTGTTCACAAATCTGTCTAAATCTGTGTTAGTGAGCACTTCTCCTTTGCCGAGATAATCCATCCACCTCACAGGTGTGGCATATCAAGATGCTGATTAGACAGCATGATTATTGCACAGGTGCGCCTTAGGCTGGCCACAATAAAAATGTTCTTGGGTTTTCGTGCTTTAACCGCCTTCTTCAAATCCCACCAGAGATTTTCTATCGGGTTCAAGTCAGGTGACTGTGATGGCCACTGTTGAATCTCCCAGGACTTCTTCTGCAACCAAGCGTTGGTGGAATTTGAAGTATGCTTGGGATCATTGTCGTGTTGGAAGGTCCAATGACGCCCAAGCTTCAGCTTCCTCACAGACGGCAAGATGTCTTCTCCTATGATTTCCTGATTCTTCAGTGCATCCATCTTGCCTTCCACATGCTGCACATTTCCAGTGCCAGTGGATGCAAAGCAGCCCCAGAGCATCACCAAGCCACAACCATGCTTAACTGTAGGCAACAAAAGTATTCTTTTCCGCTTATGCTTCATTTTTCTTCCTCCGAATAGGACCAGCAAGTTTCAGTTCTGTTTCACTGTTCCAGAGAACAGAATCCCCAGACTTCTGTGGCTTATTTATATAAGGAAGTCAAGACAGTACAGAGAGAAAGCTGTTCTTATTTTATGTCACCATACTCGAGCATTCGAATGCATGAATATTTTAATGAAAACATGAGCTGATGGCAAATTACGAAATAGAATAGCGTGATTGATATTCAAATGGTAAGCAAGCGTTGCTTTGTTTACGGTTTGTATGTCTACAGTCCTAGTTTTGGTTTCCCTTTTTTAATGACGAAAATAGACTACTGATACGTGCTGATATTGACAGATATTTACTTTCAAGCACACACAGTTCACAATCGTCTTTAGTCCTTTTGGTGCATTCAAATGCGCAGACGCAGCCGACGCAACAACACTGTGAACTTTTGTTGCCACTAGTTCTTTGACATCAGCTTGGTGTGTCCTGGGATTAAAGGGGTCATGAATTGAGAATTCAAATTTTCCTTGATATTTTGGTAATTTGCATAATGCCAGCCTATGGTTTTCATTGGCTGCCCATGAATGTCTACTTTGACGTGTACAAATCTGTTTAATGCCGCAAATTGACACTTTTCATTCATTTTTATTTGAACTGATGAAGTCTAATTAGATTCATTAATTTGATTAATAAGAATAAGATTAAAGTGATTATTACATTTTGAATATGGATATTTTTCTTACAAAAACGCATCGATTCGCTACAGGAGGCCTTTGTTTAATACTATAGCATTTTATTTTATGAAAATTTGTTAATTAAGAAGTTTTTGCACTGAAAGAGAAGTGATCTCGTGCTCATAGAATTAAGACATGCCAAGCTATATCTGCAGCTGTATAAAAAGCAGAATGAACTGAAACGTTAAGACAATAAACACAATAAATAAATAATTTATGAATGATGCAGTGCTAATTGACATATCATTGATTACAGTACAGAAACTATAAAGTATATTTTCTACCTTATTCTGTGCAGAAAATTGTAATAATTGTTTGTAGTATATAAAACAATCATACAGACTGCCATTAGGAAAAAAATATAGATTACAAATGATTGATTATTGTCCAGCTGTGGATTTGATTTCTTATAGCAAATTCAAAGTAAGAAATAAGAATTCCTTGGGAAAAATAAATAAATAAAACATACATACATATATAAAATTATTGTATTTGACATTTGTCACTTCTGAAATGATGGCTACGCCCCTGGTGTGACAAAATGTTAGCCTATACATAATACTTCTAAAGCTCTTTTGTTAAATCTAGGCTTACATACATTTCTACATACGCCATGCCATGCCACAGCATCATTAAACTAGCATCTAACAATGCACAAGTGTATTTTTCCTCCATCCTATGGTTCTGTAACCATTAAGGCTGCTGTGTAATTTGCCCCCGGACTAAGCATTTAAAGAATTTAGGGGAAGCATTTAAATAATCCTGTGAATGCACTTAAAGAATGCAGAATCGAATCGTTCTGAATTTGCAAAAATGGTTCTTGAATCGAATCGAAAACCTATGAATCGTGAAGATTCACAGCCCTACCCCCAGTTCATTTTAGGATCAATTTGAAAATCCTCCTATTTGTTTACAAATGTCTACCCAACCTTGCCCCGTGTTACATATCGGAAATGCTGCATTCTTATAACCCTACTAGAGATTTAAGATAGAGAGAGAGAGAGAGAGAGAGAGAGAGAATGAAAGGATGAGACGATACAATCATATCATTTTAAGCCATCTACTGGTTCAAATTATATTTCTTTTTTTACTTTTAAGATGTCAAAAATCTTACACTGAACAATGGCAGATTGTCCATGTTATCTCTCATCTTCTTTTTTTTTTTAAAGTAAATTTAACAAATGACTATTTTGAAAAAAAAAAAAATGTATGTGTGTGTATATAGATAGATATATTAATTTATTTACAAGGATTATTTAATAATTTATTAACATAAAACATTGAAATCTCCTTAAAACTGCACAAATGTAGAGTAAAAACTTTAATACAGTGAATAAAATTACATTTGTACATAAAACGTGTTGTTACAAAATCACATTTTATTGCCTTATCCTGAGTTTACAACCCAAACAACGGGTAGCTTACCAGGGTTAAGTTACTTCTGTACTTCTTTACATTATCTATTTCTGTAGAGCTGGAGATTTTAATAAGGATCAGATGAGTGAGTTCAGCTTTGAGAATGAAAACCAACCTGTTTGTTCCTCAGTATCTTCATGTTTGACTCTGAATGCTTCTTCAATCTTCACGTCTTCACTCTCCTCTTTAATAAACTCCATCTTTATAATAGTTGCTTCTCCAGGAGTTTCTCTGTGACTTTACACTGAACGGTTTCTATGGATTTAAGCATAAAACAAATTCTTAAAACACAAACCGTCCTTCAGCCGAATCACAACACATGCCTGTGACGTCATATCTCCACACCAAAATAAAAGTCCCAGGCTGCTGTCTATAATCACACAAGGGCATGGAAATGTACTATTTTTACCAGATAATTTAAATAGTAACAAATGTGATGAAAACAAACATGTTAAAAAAGAGTGCAAGTTCATAATGCAGAATTAATGTGTATGAATTAAAACACAATGGAGTGGTTTCCCGGACAGGGTTTAAAGGGGTCATATGATGCTGCTAAAAAGAACATTATTTGGTGTATTTGGTGTAATGAAATGTGTTTATGCTGTTTAAGGTTAAAAAAACACATTATTTTCCACATACTGTACATTATTGTTTCTCCTTTATGCCCCGCCTTTCTGAAACACGTCGATTTTTACAAAGCTCATCGGTCTGAAAAGCGAGGTGTGCTGTGATTGGCCAGCTATCCAGTGCGTTGTGATTGGCCGAATACCTCAAGCGTGTGACGGAAATGTTACGCCCCTCACCATACTGTGATGCCGTGTCCGGCCGGAGCGTAACATAAAACCATGTCTGCATTTGTGATCGGAGAAATGACAAACAACAACAAAGTAGCTACTCTACACTGCTCAAAACTCACGTTTGAATCGTCAGTGGCAAATTCTTTAAATATAAAAAAACGTACTTATACAGTCTGTGAGTCAGAACAGCCGGCATTATAGTCTACTCTCCCAGGATCAGGAAACAGTCCTCCATAAAATGCGCTGGACACATCGTCCTCTTTTGGAAGACCAAACAAAGTAGTTTCGCTTTCACAACGAAACACACAGCGTCTGCAGGACATGGCGGCGACAACAACAATACTACAGCGAGAATAAAAGTTACGCCTTCTTTCTTTGCGTGAACATTTGGGCGGCGTTATGCAAATCTTCCCACATAGTGATGTAGACATGTGGGGGCGTGTTAGAACGAGCCGTTTTAGGTAGGTGTGGTTGACTCTTAACTTTTATAAAGAATCTCTTTGGATTTGAGACTTTAGTCTTTGCAACTTTACAGATCTTCTTTATGCACCAAGAGCTTGTAACACTCCAAAGAGAAAGGAAAAATTGAAATCGCATCATATGACCCCTTTAATTAAGTTCCAATCAACAGGAAATGTTTCAAATTTGCCTACAGTATATTGTCTGTGTCTATATTATGTTAATACAATATGAGGAGGATATTTTGAGTGGCAAAAAACTCTCCATGGATCACAGCTGGAGAATTGCAGAAAATAGTTAAAGGGTTAGTTCACCCAAAAATGAAAATTAGCCCATAAATTACTCACCCTCAAGTCATCCTAGGTGTATATATTCACCTTTCAGATGAATCCAGTCGGAGTTATATTAAAAATGGTCTTTGATCTTCCAAGCTGTTTAATGCCACTCAGCGGGAGTTCCATGCATTAGTCCAAAAGAAACTAAATAAAAAGTGCCCATCCATAAAAATAAAAAAAATGTGTCACACGGCTCCGGGGGGTGAACAAAGGCCTCCTGTAGCGAATCGATGTGTTTTTGTAAGAAAAATATCCATATTCAAAACGTAATAATCACTTTAATGTGGCTTGCGCCAGCAGTTGTACACAGAAGCAGCTCCGGACTGATGAGGTATGAGGTCAGCGCTGCGCATGCGCCAGTGAGTCTCGTGAAAACCAACGCTTGTTAAAAGGATCAAAGGAAGCAAAGTTTCCTTACTTTAGCAAAGGAAAACCAGTCTCCTCTAGCCTTATATCGAAATAAGCTAGGGAACAATAGTCTGTTAAGGAGGGGGGAGAAATGGAAGGAGGAAGAAGAGAAAAAGAAAGGGAAAAAAGAGAGAAAAATTAGGAGAAAAGAGAAGAGAGAAACTTTTATCCCTTTGTCCTCCAAAGTTATGTTTTTGGAAGTGTATGTTTACAATAAATTATTTTTAAAACATTTTTTTTTTTTTTCCTATTCATTTATATGGGTGAAAGGTTCATCACAAGGTTACCGGTTCGAATCCCACTGTTGCCAGAAATTAAAGTTGTTACTTAATGCTGTAAACCACTGTTTTTCATCAGTAAAAATCACATAAATGATGTCCACATTAATGAAATTATTTCTGAAATGACAAATGAACATTTGATTAATTCTGTATTACTGATTGTTGATATTTTATTCAGTTGAGTTTTTGCACTTTTAGTTTAAATATATTTCTGCTGCAGTTATTTTCTAAAAATTATAGTAAAAAAGTCCATTTATTTCTGAAAAAATCCTCAAATGTCAACATTTTCAAAAGTGCCTATAACCTTTGAATGATACTGTAGAAAAGTAAAACATACAAAAAAGAGTTAATCATGACAAAACTTTTATTTTTCAATCAGTCATAGCCAATTATTCATCAATTCCTTGAATCATTCACATTTTTATCCTTTTAGTTATTATGTTGCATATGCAAAAGAACAGAAAACAGAAAAATACACATAAATAATATTTTCCATTGTCCATGGCTCTTGTGCATTCATTGCAAGTGCAAAAGAACAGAAAGCACAGACCATTACACACAAATAAAACTTTAAAATGTCCATGGCTCTTGTTTAGTCTTTGTGAGTGCAAAATAACAGAAAGCACAGAACAATACACATGAATAAATCTTTAAAATATTCATGACTCTTGTGCATTCATTGCAAGTGCAAAAGAACAGAAAACAAAACTATACACATAAACAAAACTTTCCAATGTCCATGGCTGTGTATTCTTTAAACATAAATAAAACTCAAGTTCCCATGTCTCTTGTGCAAAAAACAACAACAACAAAAATAACTATACACATAAATAAAACTTCAAATCAAAGACCAGTGTTTCTTTTTTTTTTTCATTTCGTTTTTTTAATATCCTCCATCCACTGCTCCTTTGGTACAGTCTCTACAGAGGGGCAGTATATAATGCCCTTGTATTGGCTATGCCCAGTCTCCGCTGTCCTGAACTGCCCGCATTTTTTGCATGTGTTGTGCTGTACTTTGCGACCACATTGTAGTCAACACCAAGCAGCTCTCCTATGAAAAAAATAAAAATAAAAGGACAAACACACATACAGGATCACACAAAAATGTGGACACATTACTATTTTTAATGATTTTGAAAGAAGTCTCTTATGCTCATCAATCCTGCATTTATTTGATTAAGAAATACAGAAAACAACAGTAATATTATGAAATGTTAGTACAGTTTAAAATAACTGGTTTCTATTTTAATATACCTTAAAATGTAATTTATTTCTGAAAAAACATAAATGATTTATATAAATGATATATATATTAAGCAGCACAAATGATATTACTGTTTTTTTCTGTATTTTTGATTAAATGAATGCAGGCTTAATGAGCATAAGACACTTCT